GAGAGACAGGGCAGAGAGATAGGGGAGAGAGATGGGGGAGAGGCGGGTGTGGGGAGGATGGGGAGATGGGGGTGTGGGGGAGAGAGAGACGGTTGGGGAGAGACAGGGCAGAGAGATGGGGGGGGAGAGAGAGAGAGTCGGGTAGGCAGGACAGAGAGTTAGAAGAGAGAGGCAGGGGAGAGAGATAGGGGAAAAAGACAGGGGAGAAGATAGGTGGGAGAGAGAGATAGACAGTGGGGAGAGACAGGGCAGAGAGATAGGGGAGAGAATGGGAGAGAGAGAGAGAGAGAGGCAGGGGAAAGAGATAAGGGAGAGAGACAGGGGACAGAGACAGGGCAGAGTGACAGGGGAGAGAGAGACAGAAGGGAGAGAGACAGGGGAGAGACAGAGGAGAGAGATGTTGGGAGAGACAGGAAAGAGGGGAGATATGGTAAACTATCTAGACAGGCAAACCGGCACCATCGTCACGTGTGAACTTTTAGAACATTTTGCAAAGCTCCTGAAATAACTCAAAAAACTAGTCAGAAAATGTAATTGGCACCAGCAACTATTAACAACCTTAAGAATATGTGTGTGTCTGTGTGTGTGTCTGTGTGTGTGTGTGTGTGTGTCTGTGTGCGTGTGCGTGTGTGCGTGTGTGTGTGTGTGTCTGTGTGTGTGTGTGTCTGTGTGTGTGTGTGTGCGCGCGCACATGCATGTTGTCTGTGCATGCGTCTATGTGCATGTATCTATATCAGTTGTGTGCCTATGTTTGTTTGTGTGCATGCGGTGTGTTTTTGTGTGCATGTCAGCATGTGTATCTGCTAGTGTGTGCGTCTCTGTCTGTATTAAATATGTGTTCTGTGTTTGTGCGTGGCCGTGTTATGTGTGTGGGAGTCTGTGCGTTTGTTTCTGCAGGGATTGAGTGCGGATAATATCAGGTTTAATATGGCTTCATTTAAAAATTCTAATTCTTACTTTTAACATGTCACCACGGCCTCCCCGCTATTTCTGTAATCTCCTACAGCTGCAGAACCCTCCAAGGTCTCTGCACTCCTCTGATCCAAAACACCCCGCATCCCTCCCCCACTCCAATTCTAACTGCTCTGCCAGTTGTTTCCTGAGCACAAAAGTCTGTAACTCCCTCCCTACCTCTCTCTCTGCCCTGCTTCCCTGCTTCAAGTCGCTCCATAAGACTCCAGACCAAATACCTCCTCAGGTACCTCAGAGCGGGGAGAAGGGTCACATTTTGTTTGAAGACACCCCTGTGAATTGCCTTGGGATGCCAGAGGCACTGTATAAGTGTAAGCTGTGTTGACAAGGGGAAACATCACCGCCGTGCGCAGCAACAAATGCGCCCGCACAGGAGAGCAGTGTTGATGTGAACACGCTGTGACAGGCAGAAGGGTTGACTGATTTCTGTTGCTCAGGGGAATAGCAGGGCTGGAAATATATCCAAAGTCTTTTCCCCGGGGTGAGGGGATAGAGGGGCATAGGTTTAAGGAGAGAGGGGAAAGATTTAAAAGGGGAGAAACTTTTTCTCGCAGAGGATGGTGCGTGTATGGAACGAGCTGCCAGAGGAAGTGGTGGAGGCTGGTACAATGACAACATTTAAAAAGGCATCTGGATGGGTATATGGACAGGAAGGGTTTAGAGGGATATGGGCCAAATGCTGGCAAATGGGTTTGTTCAGTCTAGGAAACCAGATTGGTGTGGACGAGTTGGAATGAAGGGTCTGTTTCCATGCTGTATAACTCCAAGTTTTGTGTCTGTGTGTGTGAGTGTGTATGTGTCTGTGTGTGTGAGTGCATGTGTGTGTGTCTATGTGTCTGTGTGTGTGTGTTTGTGTGTATCTAGGCGCGAAACGTCAGCCTTCCTGCTCCTCTGATGCTGCTCGGCCTGCTGTGTTCATCCAGCTCTACACCTTGTTATCTCAGATTCTCCAGCATCTGCAGTTCCTACTATCTTTGTTGTGTATTTGTTGCTTTCAAATCCAATCTCTGAAACTTAAAAGCAGAAGACAATAGGAGCAGAAGCAGACCATTCGGCCCATCGAGTCTTCTCCCCCATCCAATGAGATTGTGGCTGACCTGATCATCCTCAACTCCACTTTCCTGCATTTTCCCCATAATTCTCGCTTCCCCTTACTGATTAAAAATCTGTCTTCACATCTCACCGAGAGAAAGGAACTTTGTCAGGCATAGTGCAGGCACCTGATTTGACAACAGTTGTGCTGCGACAGTGAGGGACATTTATAAAGGCAGTGCCCCATTGCCTGTGTTGGGGGAACGAAGCATCAGATGATTGACCTGAATTTAGAGGGGTCCCAATACCCTTTGTGACTGTGTACTCTCACCTCTCTTGAGCTGCTGTCCCCTCATGAGCCGCTCAAAATCTGTGGAGAGTATTTTGGTCTTCCGCTCCTGAACAATCGTTTGAAGTCTCTCATTCAGCTCTTGTTGTTGCTTCTGGATGAATTCTTGTTCCTGGGAACAATGGAAGAACTTGCAATTATATAGCACCAGCGACGTAGACTTTGAGATTTGCGTACTAATACATCTTAATGTTACTTGGTTTTAAGTTAGGGTTTTTGAGTTTTGACATATGGGTTTTTCAGTGTGTGAAGAGTTTAATGATTAACTTATTGGTATTCCTGCAGCCATGCAGTTTAATTTCACAACAGCTTGAAAGAGCCAGCTTAGGCACAAATTTTATTTTCTATACTTTGGGAGAACCTTACAACTATGTTTTACCTGTCCTGGGAATGTTTGATGGGGACTCTGTATAGGCAGCTTTAACCTGTATCTAACCCTGTGCTGTCCCTGTCCTGGGAATGTTTGATGGGAGACAGTGTAGAGAGAGTTTTACTCTGTATCTAACCCCATGCTGTCCCTGTCTTGGGAGTGTTTGATGGGGGGGGGACAGTGTAGAGGGAGCTTTACTCTGTATCTAACCCCGTGTTGTCCCTGTCCCTGGGAGTGTTTGATGGGGGGGACCGTGTAGGGGGAGTGTTACTCTGTATCTAACCCTGTGCTGTCCCTGTCCCTGGGTGTGATTGATGGGGGGGACAGTGTAGAGGGAGCTTTACTCTGTATCTAACCCTGTGCTGTCCCTGTCCTTGGAAGTGTTTGATGGGGGAGACAGTGTAGAGGAAGCTTTACTCTGTATCCAAAACTTTACCTGCTCTGGAATGTCAATGGCATGTGCAATAACATTTGAAAAACGAAAACTAATAATGATAAAGGAACACTTACTTGCTTTTTGTCCTTCAGTGATTGCCGTTGTTTTGAGAATTCTTTAGCTTGTTGTGTTTTCAGGCGTTTGGCTTCATCGCGCAGTCGGTGTGCATAGTCTTGCTCCAGTCGATCAATAATCTGTTTGTAGTGCCGCGCCAGGTTCTCAATCTCATTGTCATAATATTGCTTCTTATTCTGTCCAGGTATAAACACAGGTAACATACGGAAGAGTAAAGCTCCCTCTACACTGTTCCCCCCCTCCATCAAACACTCCCAGGACAGGGACAACACGGGGTTAGATACAGAGTAAAGCTCCCTCTACACTGTCCCCCATC